ATTTTGATTGGTGTTCAATAACTTTTAGTAGTTGGATGATTATTTTTACCAGTTAAACCACTGTAATATGCTGGATCTTTTTAACTAATGTTACCATCCTGACCAGCTTGATTACTTGAATTATTTGAACCAATTTCACTGGTTACACATGCATTATCCAGTTAGACCATTTCAACTGGTTGGACCATTTAAACCAGTTTGTCCATTTTAGATATTGGCATCATTTTAACAAGTTGGATCATGTCAACCAGTTGCACCATTTTACTAAGTGAGATCGTTTCTTCCAATTGGACCATGTCACATAATTAAAATCTTTTCACCGTTTAAACCATTTTAACTTGTTTTGGCTGGTTGGACCATGTTAACCTGTTGCATCATTTTGACTGGAGTGAAAAGTTCCGTTCTTAACCCTAGCCCTAACCCTAACCCTAACCCGGGGCTAGGGTTAGGGTTAGGATAGCTCGCAGCTAGAGTTAGAGTTAGGGCTTTGGCAGGGTGGGATTATGATTAGGCTGAGGGTTACAATTTTTTCTGAAAACATCCAATTTTTTTTTTTTGGTATTGTGTTTGGCTCTAAACTTTAACAACTACTTGAAAGTTTGCTTGAAATCAAAATATACCATTTTTTGCCAAAATAACTGCCAAAATGCGCAATTTGGGCCTTTTTATCAATTTACACTGGGTTTAAGCTTGGTTTTTGTGTTTTCCCACAGACTCTTGCACTATTTTGCGGAGAGAACATTGTGTTTTAGCTTTTTTGCAGCGTTTTTAAAACTGAAATAAACTTTATTTTTGCAAAAAAACACACGTTTTTCAGTTGAATTGAGTGTTTTTGTCAACTTTAGCGAAAAATTTTGCAAAAATCACACATTTCTGCCGTATTTTGGAGTTTTTTGACAGATTTCATCGCGATCTTGTGAAAAACATGTAGTTTCAAGCTAGTTTTCAGTGTTTTGGCAATTATCTTGGCAAAAAATGGGTAAGTCAGCGCAATTTTTTTTTTTTTGGTTTTTAAGGTTTTTTTGCCCAAATTTTACTGAGAACACTGTGTGTTAGCTTGTCTCCATTGTTTTTTTCGCAGATTCTATCGCTGTTTTGCTGAAAACATAACTTTTAAGCTTGTTTGCATCATGTTTGGTCGTGAAATAAGCTAATTTTTGCAAAAGGAACAAAAACGTGTTTTTCAGCCCAAATTGACATAAAGGATACAGAAAAACATTTGCTTATTGCCTTTTTTTTTGTCCTTACTCATGAAGTTGATTTTGGCATTTCAAACAAAAACTCTGCTAGAGCATCAATTGAATGACATATCATGCACTTACTTTGAAGCAAGAACACTTTTTTTTTAATTCAGAAAAATACCTTTTTATTTCTTTTAAGGACTGCTGGATATAACCTGTACAACCAAGATGAATTTACATTCATTATTTTTCATAACTTACACTAAATTAGAAATTCAAGTATGAAATGAGGGTACTAGCCCTTTAATAGTGTGCAAAATTTCCATATGCAGGGGCACTTGTGGCTACTGGAGAAGAATCAGTCTTTAACCCTTCACCCCCCCCCCCCAGGGAGATAATAAGTACAGATATCCTCTTCCCTAGGGGTAACCAGCTCAAAAGTGAGTGATCTCAGGGGCCCTCCAAAAAAGTTTTCTACAGCAATAACTAAGCTCTACAGAAGCACACTATGCAGACAAAAGGTGTAAGAGAATCAATGAATTCTTTAATTCTTGGTCCCTCCCATGCCCACCTATTGTACAAATCTCATGACATCTGTTCCAGTTTCATCAGTCAATTTTTCAAGCTTCAAGCTTTTCCTGCAATTATGTACTTGTTCTTGAAGCTGAAAATTAACAAGGTTCCTGTAAATTAAGTTTACATAACAACCTAACAATTTGTGAAAATCACACAAATCCCAAGCTATATCCAGAATTATGCTCTTAATAAAATAAACTTTTAAAGCAAATTGGGATTTTGCCCTAGTTCTTTTTATTTTTTTGTTACTTTTTAAATACATTTGTATAAATAATGCTCCCCTAACTCTCCCCAAAACTTTTAGAACAGATGCAAACTCTTAAGAATGATCAAGCTTTACCTTATTATTAAAATGTTTTACATCTTAGACTACCAAGTTATCACAGAGGTTTTTGCTTAGGGTTAGGGCTATTCAGGACAAGATTTGGCCTCTGCTGCCTATTACTATTGCCAGCTTGCCTGCCACTCAAAATTTCAACTGAGATTGTACATACATACATGTGGGATTAGGTTACATGAGCGAACCTGCACTATTGAAAGAGGTCAATGAATTATAACTCAAAGAAACATTGATAAATGAAATAAATCAATAGATATGACAAAAATTAAACTAACAGCAGACAGCACTTTTTTGGCCTTCGGGGCCGGATCAGTGCAGTGATCTTCAACTAAGTGCTTAATTTGGACATAAAACCAAAACTTGTTATGGTTAAATATTATTATTTTTCTTTCAATATTCCCATTCCAGTTGATGTATATTATTTGAATAACAAATCTTATTAGCATGTTAAAATCACCAGAGAACAAGCCATACACTTTGTGCCAAAATTGCTTTGCATCAAGTACGTTATCTAGTACATCATTACCATCTTCAGGTATTTCTAATTTACTCTTGAAAATCACACAAATCATAAGCTATATACAGCATACAATTGGCAGCAAATTATTAAGAAGGAATGCAGTAATCTTTAATAATAAGATTACTTAGTAGCTAAATAACAAATAGCCTAGTCAAAATTTGCCGGTAACCAGGGATTTGGCTGTCCACACAGAACATTTGTTAGGCGTCTAGTCTGGACAAGGTTTGGCCTCTACCTTCTATTACTATAGCCAGCTTGCCTACTTCTAAAAAACATTTTGACTAGGCTGAAAAAATGTTTGAGAGAAAAATGGCCACAACAAGCCCACTTACTGCAAAATAAGAAACATAAAAGTAACACTTCAAATTAATACAGAATATAAGCCTTGCAGGATTTGGCTCTCAATAAAATTAGTTAAAATAGCCGATCTTGAGTTTAACTACTCACTCAAAATGGGCTGACAGCCTGCAATTTGCCCGCCTATGATGAAGTATCTTCCACTGACTTCACACCTTTCAGACTGCTTTTCAGGATGAGGTTTGGCCTCTGCTGCCTATAATTACAACAGCCAGCTTGTCTACTACTAAAGAACATTTTAACTGGGCTGTGCAAGTGTTACTAGCATATAAAAAGCACCTTCAGGTAGATTACAGTAAAGCAGACTTTGTACCAAAACACTTTGCATTAAGTACATCATTACCCTCTACAGGTATTTCTAGTTTACATGTGAAAATCCCACAAATCACAAGGTATATTACATCATACATGTTGAAAAAGCAATCAGGGGGTAAATTTCTCATAATAGGATGCAATGGTCTTCAGTATCAAGATTATTTGGTACCTAAATAGTACAATGTTCGAGAGAAGAAATAATCGTAAACATTTTTTCTTTCTCATCAGCATCGACTTCCAAAAATAATGGATAATGACCACCTAAAACAAAGAAGAAATAAATCAAATTTGTGATTTTACAGGGCATCAATACGAAACAAGTATGCATATCTTTTATTTCCTACCACTTACAAGTGGCAGGAATGGCTGAAATGGCCTTCACGTGAACACAACAGAATCCTATGCGTGTATAGCCATGTAGAACTATTTATTCGGTATCGAATCCCAAATGTCATGATATTTGACTGAAACTCAGCTTACCCATCTTTCGTTAGACTTCGAAACTTGCTCCTTTTTACCACCGTTTCAATGTTTTCTTGTTGTTCAAAAGGTGGTAGGGCCATTGCAGACCGTGATTTTTTTTACTTGAGAACCAGATCACAACACCCAAGCCTTTTCACGCTAAAATATTAAACTACTGAGATTTCCTTCGCCGCCGTAAGCCGCCATTTTATCTTTCCCTGAATACTAGTTCCCAAGCTTCGAGCCCGAAGGTCTCATGCACTGAAATTATGCTATTCGTTATTTCAGGGCCAATTAAGAAATAACGATAATCGTTATTTTGGTCTCGAGATCATGTTGATCTTTTTGTCGAGGGTAGAGGGTCGAGGGTCGAGTGTTTCATGTCGAGGGTCGAGGGTACCTTTTTCTCCCGTTTTTTTTTTAATTAATAAAGATAAATTAAACCGAATTTAACTAAAATAATTAAAGAAAGCTCATACACCGACAATTGACCGATAGATTACCGATCCGATCCTTGACCGATACCGACAACGCATAGCGATGTGTCAATCGACACATCGACCGACACATCGACCGACTCTCGATCGATGTAGAGGTCCATATGTCGATATATCGGCCGACATAACGATCGAGAGTCGGTCGATGTATCGGTCGATAGTCGGTCGATAGTCGGTCGATGTGTCGACCACTTTAACGACCCGACACTCCACAGTACACATGATCGGATAAAACTACGGTAAGGCACAACATATGTGTGCCTATAAATTAATAAAGGTAAGTATTCAAACGTAGAATGGTGAGATTAATATTTATAAATTTGTTCCGCAATTGAGAGGTCCATTAAAAAAAAAATAATCTAAAACTTGAAAGGTGAAAACCGCAGCGACGTATGTGATAGTTGACTGCATTATCATGGAAGCAAACAATAGGAATAACTTCCCAGCATGGCGCAAATATTTAAATCGACTTAAAAGAATAATCTTGGGTCATGGGGATAAGTTCTCTCAGCTAATACTTTCTAAGCCTCAGTTAGTTGCCTACGCAGGTCAAATGAATTAGGCGGCATGCAGACTGGGCAGCATGGATAAAAGAAGGGATTGCAGTAACGTGGCATAAAACGCAACCAAACAATAAAACTATCTGCTAGAGGAACAAAATAGACTGCTCAGGGTGCCACCACCTGCAATGGACCCTGGACTGCCTGGAGTCTATCTTTTTTTCGAGGGTAGAGGGTTTCATGTCCGACGGGATTTGACAAGAGACACGACAGACACCAGACAGACAACCGGTTGCGAGTCGTTCGCAAGTCTGAGTGAAAATCTGTGACGTCATTTGTTCACAGCGCTGAGGTTCGAAACAACTCATGTGGCTATCATCTTTCTAACTCGAGCACTGTGTTTACTGATAATGCTGTGAATATGGATTTGTCGTCATCTCCAGCTAGTGACAGCGAAAACACTTGTAGATTTTTTAAGCACTTCTGTTTTTGCGCACCATGCTCAACCGTTGGTGCGGTTCCCCTGTTAAAGCTATCGAGAAACAGACAATCGGAAAACGTCAAGGTCCTTTATTTTGTAAGAAGTGATCAAAAGTGTGGAACTAAATTTCCTGCCTGCTGTGCTTACTGGTGACAAAATAAAAGAAAAAACAATTCTTCCTCGTTAGTCGTCAGGTACTTTCTTTAAAAAAAAAATCACGTAAGACTAAGAACTGATTCAATTCTCCAGTGTGTGTTCTTGAGATTTTCGACTTGTTGCCTCCATGTGTACTCCAGACTCACAACAACAACTCAGTGGGGCGATACAATTTTATCACCTTCCGAATCACGTCTCTTGTCAAATCCCATCGGAAAAACGTCTAAAACGTCTTCTTCTAAGCAAGTGATTCTTCAGATGCATTCCAGCTGCTTTTCCTTTAAGGATATGACGAAGACGGCTTCGTGTTTTGAAATTGCACGGAAATCAGAGACGCAATCACATACCGACACTCGGGATAATTTAGAAATTTCATGTGAATATAGCATATGCACAAGTAAACCCGCTCTGTAGCTTTTAGTCTTCAATAGCAGTCCTAATAGTCGGTTGGCGAAAATTGACACTTCCACAAAGTGGTATGGCCTTTTCAGTATTTAGTATTTTCTCTTATTTTTGCTTTAGCATACGGGAGATCTTGACTGAGTCACGTAGATGAGCAATCAATCACGCTTATTAATTTATTCAATTTATTTGATTCATTTTGAACTGATCCGGTGATCCGGTGATCCGGTGATCCGGTGATCCGGTGATC